AAGAAAGAAAGAAAGAAAGAAAGAAAGAAAGAAAGAAAGAAAGAAAGCTTCCCCAATTCTCACAGCTAGTAGACTGATACTCACCTGCCCAGAGGCTGACAGGTACTTAGTGACCCAAAGGGGTCCGTATTGGGCCCAGGAGCTTGGGGCCGTCAGCAGGTGGAATTACTGGGGTGGAAGTTAGCTTTGCTGATGCCCACCGTGGAAATAAGCCACCTGGAACTTGGAAACTCTGTCCCAGACCCTTCTCGATAAATCCACTAAATCAGACTCTTTCCTTTAGAGGGCACTGGATTTTCCAAAAAAGAAAAAAAAAATTCAAGATGAGTAAAGATGTGGTTTTCAGATAATGCCCAACAAAGCAGAGACCAAGGGTGAGGCGTCATCACTTTGGTTTATAAAAGCTGCTTCAACAGGCTAAGGCCACAAGCCAGCAGCCTAGGCCAGCCCACAGTTCTACAGCTCCCTGGTTCTCTCACTGGCTCTGGGCTTCATGGCGCTCTGGGTGACTGCAGTTGTGGCTCTCGCTTGCCTTGGTGGTCTTGCTGCCCCAGGGCCAGTGCCGAGATCCACGTTTCCCCCTATGGCCCTTAGGGAGCTTATCGAGGAGCTGAACAACATCACACAAGACCAGGTGAGTAGCACACACAAGCCCTTCCCGGAAGAGGTCATGAGCGGACTGGGTCTGGGCCTGTGTGAATGACAGAAAAAGCCCCCAGTCCCTGGGCTCAAAAATGAGGAAGAAGAGCAGCTAGCTTGGGGGTGCAATCGTGTATGGACAGTGAAGGGTCCCCTCAAAGAAAAGACCTTTACAATAGGACAGGTTTAATCTAAGAAAGCCTGTGGAGGAAAGGGCTCTGGCTGGGGAAGCCAGACAGCTCTCAGACTGCTCATAGCCTAGGGATAGTTATGGGGACAGGGAAGGCTTGGGATGTTGGTCCGAAGCTTGCTAGGGGTAGTCAAAGAATGTTGAGCAAGAGGGTTAGGTGACCCTTATCTGATCTGATAATGACTGGCTAGTCATTATCAGGGGTCTGCAGGAGTGGTGGCCACTGTTTATCCAAAATGGAGGATTTTTTCAAAATGGCGTGGCCATGGCCAACAAATGGACCTTCCAGGGGTTAGCAGAGTCACTCAGGGCCTGGCCCCACTTCTATCAGCTCGGGACTCTTCCACAGAGGAAAACAGGGAAGAGTCAGCAGCTTCTAGAGCCGTTTGGCATCTGTCAACTGGATCTCCCATGCCATGTCCAACTGGATTTCCTAACCCCTGTCCCTGTCACAATTTCAGTCAGTGGGACAGAAGGATGCAGTAATCCCACTGGTAAATCAGCTTGCAGCGTCCGACCACTGACTATTGCCAAGCCTGGCGCTGGATGCTGTGTTATCTCTACTGACACCCCCAGGAAGGCACAGGGGTTTCCTTTTGTAAGGTCCAGGGAGGTTAATGTCAGATTCTAGTCTTTTAAGAATCACCTGAGCCCTCGTGTGTGTGTGTGTGTGTGTGTGTGTGTGTGTGTGTGTGTGCCCTAGCATAGTGTCTCATTCAGAGAAGAGAAAAGTGGTACAGTAGGCTCCCACTGCCTCACATCTGACTTGACTAGGTCAACAGCAGCCTCTCCCACCTCTCCTTTACCAAACCCCACTCTGGCCTTCTCTGTGGACCCCCATCCTCCTGCCCAGACTGTGGCAAGCTTCAGATAAGGCATTTCCCTTGCCAACAGCCACTCAGTTTCCCTCTTTTGGCTCCAGGATTCTAATTCCTGCCCCAGTCCTTGTGCAGACTGAATCCTGTTGAGGGGTTGTCAAGCTGGACTCTATGCTACCCTAAGGGTGCTTGTGGGCCTGGCCTGGCTGGGGTAGGTCTGTGACTCCTGCTGTCATTCTCCTCATGGTCTCTTTGTTTCTACAGACGCCCCTGTGCAACAGCAGCATGGTTTGGAGTGTGGACCTTGGAGCTGGCGGGGTAAGGAGCCTGGGCCGAGGGGATGTGGTGATGGCTAGCAGCTACCAGCTTCTTTTCTCTCAGCCCAATAGCTAGGGCTTTCCAAACAACCTTCAGAGATAGACATGCCTGGAATGTTGGAACTTTAGAAGTTGAGGCAGGAGGATTACCATGAGTTTGAGGCCAGCCTGGACTAAAGGCCTAGGCTACAGAAAGATATCCTGCCTCACAGAAATCAATTGAAAAAGTAAACTCTAACAGCAGTCCTCAACCTTCCTAACGATGAGACTCTTGAATACAGTTCCTCATGCTGTGCTGACTCTACAACCATAGAATTGTTTCGTTGCTCCTTCGTAACTGTACTTTTTGCTGTTCTTCTGGATTATGATGTAAATATCATATGCAAGATATCTGTTATGTGGTCCTCAAAGGGACCGAGACCCACAGGTTGAGAGCCACTGCTCTAGCAGCTATTCCCACATTCCCCATAATTTAGACTCCTCCTGGCACCCGTAACCCTGGCCAGTTCAACAGCCTTCCTGTGACCTGAGCCAGCCCTGACATCCGCCCTCTTCTCCCACAGTTCTGTGCAGCCCTGGATTCCCTGACCAACATCTCCAGTTGCAATGCCATTCACAGGACCCAGAGGATACTGAATGGCCTCTGTACCCGCAAGGCCCCTGCTAAGGTAAGGCCAGTTCCATCCTGGAGCCCACTCCTGCTAGTCCAGATAAACATCCTGTGTGTCCACTCAGGAGGGGGTCCACTGTGGCAGTAGGGACCCAGACTTAGAGAGTTACAGTGCTTGGGCTCAGGGGCTCCCAACTTTTACCTGAGCCTCAGCTTCCAAACTGTAAAGTAGAGGCAAAACCAGAACCCACCTGGCAGGGACTTTTGGGAGCATCGTAAGGGCCAGTCCCTGGAAAGCCCCCTGTTGAAAGCCAGCTGTCCTTGACCTTGGCATCCGGCTAATGGATGGGCCTCTCTGTTGTTTCACAGGTTTCCAGCCTCCCAGATACCAAAATTGAAGTAGCCCAGCTTATAACAAAACTGCTCAGCTACTCGAGGCAACTTTTTCGCCACGGCCCCTCCCACTGAGGAGAGACCAGCCCTGGACATCTCAGCCGTTGACATCTCAGTTGTGGACTCATTTTTCTTTCTCACATCAGACGTTGGTTGGGGGAGGCAGGGAGGAAGGTTGGGGAGGGATGAAGTTGCCTTAGCTTTGACCTCAGCCTGCACTGCCTGGCTAGTGCTAGGGTCTCAGCCTGGCAACCCGCCCAACTCCCCTCATCCCATCCCTACCGCAAACTGGAGCATGACAGTGAGTCCAGCCTGTGGCCTGGTCCACACAGGGCAACTGCGGCAGACTGCAGCTTGAGCACATTTCTTCTTGATCTTATTTATTATGGTTGTATGTTATTTAAATGAGTCTGTCAGTATCGGGCTGGGGGAAATGGTTTGCTGCCTATGCCCCTGGGGGGCTCTAGCATTGAAGCAGTGGGCTCTGGGGTCCCTGGCGATATTACTGTACACACAATTCTGCTACCTCACTGGAGCCTCCAGGTCTCACCACAGGCAGGAGACAGGAGGGAAGGCCAGAGCAACACTCCTATCTGCCAAGGCAGCAACTAGCCCTCAGCCATGAAATAACTTATTGTTTTGTTCTTTTATTTAAAGTATTAAATAGCTTAGCAAAGAGTTAATAATATATGGAAGGATGGCCTGTTACACTCAGGGTGATGTAGAGGGGATGGGGGAGGGTGGTAGGTTTGTCATTGAACAAGTTTTTCATTGACTGTCAAACTAGAAACCGGAAATAAAGATGGTGACAGATAGGCCTGCCTGCTTTTGCTGTCTTTTTTTGGGTCCTTGGGGATGCTGCCCTGTGGGCTCCAAACTGAGGAGCCCGATGTGAGGCAGGCTGCTCAACGGAGATCGGAGGAGCAAAGGGCAGGACCTGGGCTGAGGGAAAGTAAGGTCTCTGGTCTGTGGCAGACCGAGGAGATACGCCCCCTGTCTACTGTTGGTGAGCCAAGGGAGCTTAGGCCAGGAAATTGGGGTTCAAGGGGATGTCTGGGGCAGGCGGGGAACCTCTTGGGTATCTCCTGATGACTGGCCAGCTTTGTCTGCACCACCCACACAGTCTCAGGTCTCCCTTGGCACCCTGGGAGGCACAGTGAGGGTGAGGCTCGTCCAAGGCATATAATGCTGGGAGGAAATAAAGGCCACACTCTGCCTCCTCTTTCAAAAGTCACCTGCCTAAATGCATGGCTCTTCTCCAGAACACTGTCTGTTTGGATGTCCCCTGGTGATGAGACATTACGACTTACTTGATAGGGACAAGCTGTTCAGTTTCAGGAGTCCACTCATTGCTTTGTAAACCAGGTTGAATGGGTTGATATGTGGGTACTAGGGTAGACAGACAAGGCCATGGAAGACAGCACCTCAGAGCAGGTGGCCTGCCTCTCCCTTGCTGTCCCCCAAGCTGGAGTGGTGGGAACATCTGCACAAGGAAAAGCAGAAAGCCACTGAGAAGGGAGGGAAGCTTCCCCAGCAGGTGTGGGTGGGGGCAGGGACCACTCAAACTCTAAATGACAGCAGGAGCCCTCCTGGGGCAGGCCAGAATCTGAGAGATTCCAATACTCACAGCCCCGTATCAACCGAGCCAGAAGACGTGGCAGAGACTTAGCCAATGTGTGGGGAGTAGTCTTCCCTTCTTACCTCACTGCCAACAAAGAAGAGAGACAGAAGAGGCCAAGCCGTAGCACCAGGAGTCAGCTGCTCTGCAAGAAAGAGGGGATGTGTACAAAGAGGTCACATTTGTCTAAGGACCATCTGCGCTGGCACAGCACTAGCTACCCAGACTAAGGACTGCAAGACATGGTGGCAGACAGAACTTACAAAGGCAGGGAAGAGGATGTTCTCCTTCATCCTTCCTGCCGGGAGCACTGCTAGGAGCACTGCTGGGAACACTGCTGGAGAGTCAGGGGTGAGCAATGGTCTTCTTGCTTCCTTCTCTACGCATAGTCTAAAATCAAAGACTAGATGGACCTTGTTTGTTTGTTTGTTTGTTGTTTGAGACGGGGTTTCTCTCTGTGGCCCTTTCTATTCTGAAACTTGATATGTAGACCAGGCTGTCTTCAAACTCACATTCACCTGCCTCTACCTCCCCAGTGCTGATATTAAAGGTGTGTGCCATACTGACCAGCTTGGTTTGTTGTTTTAAAAAAAGGTGGTATGTATATGTGTGTGTGCCCATATATGTACATGTATGTGCATGTGTAAGTGTGCATGTGTAAGTGTGCATGTGTATGCATGTGTGTAACTATGTGAGCATATGTGTGTGCATAAGTGTATGCATATGTGTATGTGTGTGTATGAGTGTGTGTATGTGTACGTATGTATGTGACTATGTGTGCATATGTGTGTACGTGTGTGTGTGCATGTGTACATGTGTGTTTATGAATGTGTGTGAATGTGTGTGTATGTGTGTGTGCATGCATGTGTGTATTGTATAAGAAGCTAGAGGACAGTCTTGGGCGTTGTTCTTCAGGAGCAATCTACCTTGTCTCTGTATGTCTCTCACTGACTGGTCTAGAGCTTTCCTTATTAGGCCAAGCTGGCTGGTCAACAACCCCCCAAAGATCCTTTAGCCTCTGCCTCCCCAGCACTGAGGTTATGGCTGTGCACCCTCCTGCCTCTTCCTCATGCTGTAAGGCAAGCATTTTACTCACTGAACCATCTCTCCAGGCCCCAAAAACGATTCTTAAAAACAGACAATCATTGTCTGAACATTCCCTCATCATGATAATGTCATCTCTACCTTGGTCCCCTCTAGCTGACCAAGGTCAGCCTGTCTGTCTGAAATCAGGGCGATGGTTCAGGGGATAAAAACACGTGCTGTACAAGTCTGACGACCAAAGTTCAATGCCTTGAACTTCCAGACATGGGGGAGCAACCGGAATGTCAGCATTCTTATATACAGGAGATGGAGACAGGAGGATTGCCCTGAAACTTGTGGGACAGCTGGCCCTCAAAAAACAGGGAGAGACAGGGCAGAGAAGTGGCTCAGAGCCATCTGGTTAAGAGCACTGGCTAATCTTCCAGAGACCCTAGGTTTAATGCCTAGCCCTCACCCATATGGTGGCTCACAACTGACTTTGACTCTAGCCCCAGAGGATCTGATGCCCTCTTCTGGCCTCCACGGGTACTTCACACACATGGTGCACAGAGGTATACATGCAGACAAACCCTTATCACGTAAGATAAGAAAATAAAATCTCAACTGGGCATGGTGGTGCACACCTTTAGTGTCAGCACTCAGAAGACAGAGTTTGTGAGTTTGAGGTCAGCCTGATCTACAAAGTGAGTTCCACAACATCCAAGGATGTTATATAGGAAACCGTGTCTTGAAACCCATTCCACCACCCCCCAAAAATCTCAAAAACAAAAAGAGAAAAGGTCAAAAGTAAAAGCCAAAAGTTGTCCTTTGACCTCCATCCACATGTATGGAGTGGCACGGGTGCACATACAGTTAGATATTTATTTGTGTACACACAGACACACACAGAGAGAGACACACAAGAGACACATGCACATAGACACAGACACACATACACAAACACATACAGACACACACAGACACACACACATTTTTTAAATGGAGGACACACACACACACACACACACACACACACACACACACATTTTTTAAATGAAGGAGGGCTCTCTTCCAGTCCAGTTCAAAAAAGAGCCTTCACTCTACAAGATGCATATGGAGCCATTCCAGGTCTCACCACTAGGGGTCCACAGCTAGTCGTATCCTCATCCAGTCCACCGCGCCAATCCTTCACACTTCTACACTGTGCCTCAGGCAGAGCGGGGACCTGAGGTCCTCAATAGGGAGCACTGGGCCCTTCAGGGACAAAGGATGCCTTACACTGCCACAAGACAAAGCTGTTAAAGCTGACAGCAAGGAGGTGGCCCAGTAGGAGCAGGAGCAGGAGGGAGAAGCAGGAGAAATTTAACTTTGGAGCATCGCTTGACTCTAGGTCCTAGAGGGACCATAGGACATCTGGGAAGCTACTGGGCATTTTCTCCCATATGCAAAGGAACCTCTCAGCAAGGCCAGAGACAGGGGAGCTGAGGAGAGCTGAGAGCCCCTGGTGAGTAGGAGACAGAGCTGGTCAGGTCGTGGGGTGAGCTGCCCCTCAGCACCCCAGGCTCAGGAGGTTTCACTGAAGGCGAGAGGGACGGGGGCGGGGGGCTCAGGTGAGAAATGAGACTCAGTTTCCGTTGAACTCCACAGCAAACAAACACTTCTGCTACTCAGGCAAGGTGTTGAAAACACAGTCACTTCAGGGGTTTCTCTGAGGCCAGTCCCTGAGGTGCTTGGTATGAAGAGGAGCTGTGCAAAGGACTGGGCCTATGTCTAGCCTATTGTTTGAGGACAGCTAGGTGGACGGGACTAATCAAGTCATCCACTGTCACAGTTACGCTACAGCCGCGCTTTGCCCCGTGCAGGCGGCTGGTCAGTGGGTACCAGGCTCTGCTCTGTTTCTCTCTTCTGAGATGGTAGCAGGTGAAGCTGGCCATGCACCAGGCTGAGTGTCCTGGCCGTGGGAAACCCCGGTTGTGTGGTCCAGCACTTTAGGCTGGTCAGGCCTAGAGCTGTGTCCACAATCATCCTCCCCCACACTGCCCCCTCTCACTGTCAAAACTAAAAGTCACGAGGCCCCATTATCTTCATTCATTTCTCGGCTCCACCCAAAAGCGACAAGAGCGCATGGCTTGCAACGAACTTTCCCAGATCAACTGATTTCTCGGCAGCCAGGGAGGGCCCCATGACGAAGCCACTCGAAATCCCAGAAGCAATTTTCTACTTACGACCTCACTTTCTGTTGCTCTCTCTTCCTCCCCCTCCACAGTGCCATCTCGAGTGGAAAGTGATCCCCTCACAGAGGGCCTAAGAAACGCCCCCAGCCCTGCCCTGTCTGGGCTGCTGTGTGGTCAGAGGTGACGCAGGCACTGAAATTAAATATAGCAGATCTCGTCACCTCCGCTCTGAGCATCACGGCAGACCAATGTGGGGGGGCTGCGCCATTCTTCCTGTATCCCTTGTGCGGCGGCAGCCCTAGTGGGGGCAGCAGCTCTTGTGTCTCCCGCAGGCCGGATCTGTAGATCTGTGATCCCTACCCCTACCCAGACCCACTCTTCAGGAGTTCCAGGGATATCAGGGAGGGAAAAGCAACTCCTCATCTATTTACTCTTCCATGTTCTCATCCCTGCTACATACTTTTAAAATAATGAATGTACATCCATTCCCCAGTCTGGCTAGGGGCAAAACCAGATTTAATATAGAAAAGCAGCACATTCTCGAGGTCCATGGAAGGGAAGGATCAGGACTTGGGCTGGAGACAGGACAGCATCCTAAGACCCTCAGCGCTTTCAGGAAAGGATCTGGTCTGGGAAGTCACAATTATAGCCCAGCCATCTCCTCTCCTGGGCCTCCAGGCCTTCAGATCCTCTGTGGGAAGTGAAGACACAGGTGGGAAATGTACCAGGGGATTGCTCATTAGCTCTGAGTCTAAGGCTGCAGTGACAGATGGTCCTGAGGATAGATGAGAGTAGCTCTCCCCCACACCCCCGTCTGATGAGAAAGCGTCCTTGGCATCTCAGGGAACAGAGAATCCCAGGGCCACACAGTCTCTTGTTCACACATCCTCTTCTCTAGTGCATGGACTTGGGTGGGGTCCTCTCTGTGTCTGTGATCATGGTTCCTTATCTGGACCTTTCGAAGACATAGGCAGACATGCAGCCAAAGGCTCATGGCAAGAACTCAGGGTTAAATCAACTCCGGCTTTAAGTTCCATGGTGTCCATGATTGAAGAACTTGTTACTTGGGCTTAGTCTCAGATGCCACTCTGAGGCAGAGCTCCACCTATCCACTCATCTGTCCATCCATCCACTCTTCCATCCATCCATCCATCCATCCATCCATCCGCAAGGATTCACTGCAGCCTTACCAGGTACCACTGATCTGTATCATAAGCACAGTAAAGTCACATCCAGTGACACAGCAGAGCAGAGCAACAGCACAGAGGTGCCAGGCACCTCGAAAGCCACAGAGGTGAGAAGCTGGCCAGTGGTTGGGGCAGAACACAGGAAGCCAAGAGCACCTCACTCATGAGATGGGTGAAAACAGAGGTCTGGCTGGCTGGCTAGATTCTGTGTGAGAGAAGCTCTTTGCATTAGGAGGAACAAAGCATCAGATTTGAGTACTTGGAACAGCCCAAGTCTTGACCAGACAGACGCATATGAGGCCTAACTCCAGCACTCAGGAGGTGGGAGTAGGAGGAACAGCAGTTTGAAGGCTGTGAGAAAGACCCAAGACCTCGAGGCCAGGCCATATCTGAATCAAATTTATGCAGAGCCATTCTGGCTGCAAAAGACAGGGCCAGGGAAACTGCTCACCAGGTTCCTGTAGAGTCCCGTGTGGGAAAGGATAGCAGTAGAGGGGCAAGAGACAGTCTAATTCTGGAGAGATGTGTGTGCAATATATGTGCAAATTATATATTTATACTTTATCCTATAAAGTAAACATGCATACGATATCTACTGCACGCTAATACATACATGCAGTTTGTATGATTTCTATGTTTGTGTGTGAATGTCTGTGTGCAACATGTAGAGGCAGATGAGAAGGTCAAGTGTCCCCTCTTCTGAAGGTCAAGTGTCCCCCTCTTCTGAAGACAGTGTGTCTCACGGAGTCTGGAGCTAGGCTGACAGCCAGTGAGCCAGTCATTCTCCTGTTCCTATTCTCCACAGTGAGGGGGTTACATGCATGTGAGGCCATGTTGGCTTTTTTTTATGTGGGTGCTGGGGACCTGAACTCAGATCCGCATGCTTGCTCAGCAAGCTCTCCGACCCTAAAGACATCCTCCCAGCCGTATATTTAAATGCATTACCCACACACACTTTTCTGCAGAGCTTCACGCGTTAGCCACGTCTCTACCACTG